TTTGAAATCATGTGCGATGCTAGTGATTATGCGATAGGGGCCGTCCTGGGCAACGAAAGGATAAGAAATTGCATGCTATATATTACTCTAGTAAAACTCTTAGCCCTGCTCAATGAATTATGCAACTACTGAAAAAGAGATGCTAGCTGTCATATATGCAATAGATAAGTTTCATTCTTATTTAGTTGGGTCGAAAGTGATTATCCATACAGATCATGCGGCATTAAATATCTGATGAGCAAGAGCAATGCCAAGCCGCGGTTGATTAGATGGATCCTCCAATTGCAGGATTATGATATAGAGATCAGAGATACGAAGGGGACAGAGAATGTCGTCGCAGACCATCTCTCTCGCCTCCTCCTTGATGAGGAGGATGAGGATAACCTCCATTTGATGACTCTTTTCCCGTTGAGCGTTTGTTAGCTCTTTTACAGGTTGAATCTCCTTGGTATGCTGATTTAGCTAACTATCTTTCTACAGGTACAATGCCTCACGGTTACTCCTATCAACAAAGGAAGAAATTCCTTTATGAGGCACACCGACACTTTTGGGAAGACCCTTTCTTGTACAAACTATGTGCCGATGCAGTGATCAGACGGTGCATTCCCGAAAGTGAGGTAAGCAATATAATTTCTCATTGCCATGACTTACCTTGTGGTGGACATGCAGGCCCCTCGAAAACAACTGCAAAGATCCTACAATGCGGATTTTACTGGCCCACTATGTTTAAGGATGTGTACTCCTATGTCAAGGCCTGTGACCGTTGTCAACGAACGGGAAATATTTCCAAGAGGAACGAAATGCCACTCAACAACATACTCGAGGTCGAGTTGTTTGATGTGTGGGGGATAGATTTCATGGGCCCTTTCTCTTCCTCTAAGGGGAATCGATACATTTTGGTAGCCGTTGACTACGTGTCAAAATGGGTTGAGGCCATTGCTACACCAAGCAATGATGCCCGTGTGGTAAGTAAATTCTTCAAGAAAAACATTTTCAATAGATTTGGTATCCCACGTGTGTTGATTAGTGACAGGGGAACACACTTCATGGAGAGCCGATTCGAAGCAAATGTTGAAGAAATATGGAGTGCAGCACAAACTTGGAATTGGCTATCACCCCCAAACCAGTGGCCAAGTAGAGGTATCAAATCGAGAGATAAAGTCCATCCTAGAGAAAACAGTTGCAAGAACGAGAAAGGATTGGGCTGACAAAATTGATGATGCACTTTGGGCTTACCGAACAGCTTACAAAACTCCAATAGGTACAACCCCGTACAGACTTGTATACGGAAAAGCTTGTCACTTACCCGTCGAGCTAGAACATCGAGCATTTTGGGCCATCAAAAGCCTGAACTTTGACGCTAAGGCCGCGGGAGAGAAGAGGCTATTGCAGTTGAATGAGCTAGATGAGCTCCGCCTCGAAGCCTATGAGAGTTCAAAGCTTTATAAGGAGAAAACAAAAAGGTGGCACGACAAGGGCCTCATAAGAAGAGAATTCAAAGAAGGAGATCAAGTCCTTCTATTCAATTCAAGGTTGAAACTATTTCCAGGGAAACTCAGGTCAAGATGGTCGGGCCCTTTCACGGTCTACAAAGCATATCCTTATGGCACCATTGAATTATGGAACAACACCGGGGCACCTTCAAAGTCAACGGACAAAGGGTGAAGCACTATCGAGCGGGAGATCCTATTGAAGAGAAGTCAGATATCACATTCTCTTCCCCGCCACAAACTCAATGAGGATGAATACGGTCAAGCTAATGACCTTCTAAACAAGCGCTTTGCGGGAGGCAACCCGATTCTTTTTTCTATTTTCCTTAATATTTTATACTTTATCTTTCAGTTTATGTCTGTGTTATGCTGTTTTACAGAGAGTATCAAGCTAAGCACGAAGTGGGATGTCAAGAGAGCAGTCAAAGATCGAGTTTATCGCGTTTTTGCTCTTCGCCCGGTCAGACCGGGCAAATTCCGCCCGATCGGGCGCGAGAAACAGAGAGCCAAAAAGAAGAGTATGAAGCTAAGCTTCTCTCCGCCCGATCAGACCGGGCAAAGCCCGCCCGATCGGGCGCGAGTAGCAGAATCTGAAAAAAAAAAAAAAAAAAAAAAAAAAAAAAAAAGGAATTGAAGTCCAGTCTTCTTCGCCCGGTCAGACCGGGCAAAGAGCGCCCGATCGGGCGCGATGGAATCCTGCGGGTTTATATTAGGATTTCAGCATCTTCTCTCATTCCCATTCCTCAAACTCTCATACCCTCTACTCTTTCTCTCTCTAAAAATCCCCAATTCTAAAACCCTAACTTCATCTCCCATCCAATTTCATCAAGATTCAACAATCAAATCCCTCAAATTCACCATACAAACCCAATTTTTTTTTTATTTTTTTTTTTTTTTTTTTTTTGCAAAATATTTCTGCAACTCCGTCCCTCCTCTTTGTTCAACCTCAAGAAAACCCCAGGCTATCTCACCACTCACATAATTTCGAGCTTTTGAAGATGTCTCAAAGGAAAAGAACGAGAAGCACACCCCAACAACAACCACAATTGGACTTGGAAAGTGTAACCGGGTGCCCACACGTGGTTTTCGTTCCGGAATTCCCAAACCAAAAGCAGCGGTTCATCGAGCTCTCGCGCCGAAAGGCAAGGGTATATCCCGAGGGATGGTCCCCATCCTTCTTGTATCACTTTCCCGGTGCGGGAGATATGGCAGGTGGCAGTGGCACAGCTGGTGTCGAGGATGATGGTGTTGATGATGATGATGTTGATGATGATGATGTTGATGATGATGATGTTGGTGGTGATGATGATGGCCCCTCCGCTTCCTTTTGAGGAGCCGTCGAGATTGCTATGCTCTCCTTAAGCTGCAATGAGGCCATTGCCGCGTTTAGCTTGGGGGAGTTACTTCGTACATGTTGGTATTCTCTCTCCTTATCTCTCTTATCTTTCTTGTTTTATTTTAGTGTAGTTATTTTAGTTGTTTTCTTCTTAAAAAAAAAAAAAAAATACAAAAATACGATCCAATGAATAATAAATCATGCTTCCCTGTGCCCCATTCATGAAAATTGTTTTAATTCTTGGTATATGATGACGAGTATTGTGGATAGGTTAGCCATGATTTGATGTTTGATTGCTTGGATGTCTTACCATGAGTCAATTTTGCCCAACTACTTGTGAATATAGTGCTTGACTAGTTGATTTGGTTAGGAATGTGTGTTAGTTCCTGGTATGTCAATGAAGTTGAGTATTGGTTTATAACTTTGAGTAATGTTTGCATGACTCATTAATATGCACATTGAGGAGGACGAAGGCATTTGTTCCTCTAGGTGGCCTTCAGACGATATTAGATACATTTGTTCCCTTCTTGCTACCCATGTTGTTGCTTGTGCCCTTTTATTGTTTATTTTGCCACATTACAAGCCTATTTAAGCCCCATTGGTTACTAGTCCCAAGCTTAGCTTGGGGGAGCTAATAGTGAGTGAGGCGAGGGAGTTGTAGTGTGCATGTAATTTGCACAATTTTGGGTGGATTTGAGAAGTTTCTTATTTGTTCTTATTGTTGTGGATTGAAAAAAAAGAAAAAAAAATTGAAAATTTATTGTGCAAAGAAAAAAAAAAAAAATTCCAATGTGAGAGAAAAGAAAAAGAAAGAGCAAAGGAAAAAAAAAATTGTTTCAATGTTCAAGTGTTCTAATTGAAGGCTGCTCAAGAAAAAAAAAGAGAGTTCAAAGTTTGTTTGTTTACTCAAGTTCTATAATTTTATATTTTGTATATATGAGTGAAATTTTAAGTGTTGGAAATTTTTAATATAATTGGGATGTTTGGTGAATTTTTGGTAGAGCTGAGTTGTGTTGGAGATGATTTGGTCATTAATTTGTTTTGACCTTGGTTTTATTTATTAGGATTTTGGCTCCCTTAAGCATAGCTTTACTCTTACATTTTTCCCAAATATTTCCCACCTTTTACCCTAGCCTTACATTACAAGCTTTGAAGACCTTCTGACCTTTGTGCATAGAGTTGTGTGAATGTGAAATTAGTTGTTTTCCAATGCAAAGAATGATTTGATATATTTCGAGTCGACTGCTAGGTTGAGTGCTTGTTTTCTTAAAACACACGAGTGCGTGAGCTTGGGAGGGCATTGTTCACATTTAAAGGAGTTGGATGGAGAGCGACCGAGTATATCTTTTACTCGCCACATAAATGAGAGTTGAGTGTGTGAACACTAGTCTTGAATTCTATATGCTCTTGTGGTTTGCTCTATTTGACCATTGTCAGACAGGATGAGTAGTTAGATGGATTTGATTGGTTGACTTTGATGCATAACTGTCGAGTTTACCTTTAATCGTATTTATTGATTTGAGTTACTTTTGGGGTGAAGTATTGATTTATTTATTCATTGCTTTGCTTAGGGACAAGCAAAGGTTTAGCTTGGGGGAATTTGATATACGTGTTTTATACAATGGTTTTCCCCGGTTTGATTGCATGATTTTACATGGTTTTGAGCTCTACGGAGCTATTTCTTGCTAACAATCTCTTCTTTAGTGTATTCGATTGTTTTAGTAAGCTTTTCAGGAATATGAAGCGTTTCTAGGCAATTGGACGTGTTTTTAGTAGATTCGGAAGAGTTGATAGCCAAGAACTGCAATTTATGTGGAATGCCCGACCGGGCATGGCTTGCCCGGGCAGACCGGGCAATGAGGAGTTCACAGGAAGAAGCCCAATTCTGAACGGTGCAACGCGCGCCCGATCGGGCAGGCTTCGCCCGTCAGACCGGGCGATGAAGAAATCAAGTTATGAGATGCAATTTTGGAAACGTGTTACGCGCGCCCGACCGGGCGAGGTTCGCCCGGTCAGACCGGGCAAAGAAGGAAAACTGTCGTATTTTACGCAGCCTTCCTCCGCCCGATCGGGCGAGGTCCGCCCGGTCAGACCGGGCAAAGCTCAAGAACGCGTATTTTCTTATTTTTCCGAAATATTATCTTTTGGGGGTATAAATACCCTTTTGTAATTAACTTTTAGACAGTTAGTTTTTCATTAGTTTTCTCCTTAAGCCCTAGAAAACTCTCAAGAACCCTAGTTTTATTTTCTTAAGCAATTTCAATCTTTAATCCTAGTTTTATTAATTGTTCCTCAAGAATTCAAGATCATCAATTGAAGTATTTGGTATTTCTTACTTTCCATCTCTTTTATTTATTTTATAGTTCTTTAATTATGTGTTCTCTATTAGATCTTGTTTTTGATTTAATTATGATTTGTGAGTAGTTTCCTTAATCCGGGATCTTGCTAAGCCCGATTATGATTGATGTATAAAGTAGATCTTTAAATTCCCCAATAATAATCCCAATTGACATGCTTAATTGATTGTGTTTATGCCAATACTAGATTAGGGATAATTAGTATTGTTATCATCCCTTTGTTCTTATTGCAACGGAAGTTGGGTATTAACGGGATTAGGTTATTTCAATTAAGGGTTTGAAGATCATCACGGAAGTAGATGATTGAATAATTAGGAATCTAGGCATGGTGTTTAATGTCCCTTATTCGCTTGATTCCACGGAAGTAGGCTTGATAGTTAATTTGGGAAGCCATTGATAACTCGGAAGAGACCTTTGGTATTATTATTAGGGATTGCTTTTCTTCTTGTCAATTGATTTATATATTGGGGGTAGATTTATTAGTTTATCAATCATAATCGTGGTGATGCTTGATCTTGGATGCTTTAGTTTATTGATTAATATTTCCTCTAGTTAATTGTGTTATTTAATAAATTAGTTGATTATTATCATCCATTATTGATTGGTCACGTGCTTAGTGATTAATTGAGTCTGATTAATTGAATGAACCATAGTCTCTTGGGATTCGATCCTTACTTGCCCTACTACACAGTTAGAAGGAATAGTTAGGTTATTTTTGTTAGGTACGCGATAAGCCTATCAATCTTTTCTCAAAAACTTATCTTTTTTAAACTTTCCAATTTTAATTAAGCTTGCCAAGCTTTTTGCCACGCTTCTAATAAGTCTCGCGCATAATCCTATTTATCGTATTTACAGCAAATCTAAAAGATAAAATCTTAACTAACTAAATTTGTTACGCCAATATTCTGTCTACCTAGGATACTTGGGTTTCACACAGTCCAGGACTAAGTTCCTGCTGTCACTTGTACTCTAGTTCTGAACTGGAACTTCGCAGGCCAAGTTCTTCCAGAATTTGCTGTCTTCAACGCAGACCAAGTCAACACTTTAACTTGCTGTCTTCAAGTTCCTGCTAGGGAACGTTCCTATTAGGGAACTTAGATAGTTCTTGTTAGAGAACTCTTCTTCTATCTTGTTTAACTTTTCTTTGGAATCTCTTCATGTCTTCTTAGATTATGCTACTTGATTAGGGGATTTTTCTCCCACCAATCGGAATGCGCCACGTGGGCCAATCAGGTCCTGCCAAGTGTCCCCCAGTTGGAACTGTCAGGGCTTGCCACGTGGCACGCGCTTATTCGTCCACCTTGGACCTATTATGTCATGACATGTGGCATACTCCATGCCTAATGGAGAAACCGGCCACCCAGGCCCAACTTCCGAGGGAAGCCCAATCAGCCCTAGGTTAACCTAAACCTAGGATGGGCATGTTTCCCAAGGTTATAAATACCTCCCTTAATCCTCATTAAGGGGGATTACGAAAAAACACATTAATTACACACAGTAATAACCGGCTAATCTCGCTAACAAAGCAGATTACCTACATTAAACACTCTCACCTAGAGAGACCCAATCACTTTAATTTCCGCATTAATTACTCCTTAATCAAGTACTAACTTGACCGTTGGAGGCGGAGCTCCCACCACCAGGAGTCTCCGTTATTTTGCAGGTACAGGCGTCCGGTTCCAGTCTCGGAATTGTAACTCTCCCGCAGGACATCAGAAAACCCCGAAACATTTGGCGCCGTCTGTGGGGAGAGTACTTCTGAGATGGCATCCAAGTCTGTACCGACTCCTGAAGAGAGGCGTCCCCTAGACGACCCTCAAGTTCAGTCGGACCATGATACCGAGAGTGAATTTGAAGTTGAAGCTCACACAACTTCAGACGGGACCCTAAGGGCCCGACGTACCCGTCATACCGAAAGGAGGGAACGAGAACATCTTCAAACTGGAAGTGAGCCAGCAGGCGCACCGCCTGTTCGGCAACAGCCGACTGATGGGTCTGCTCCCATCACAAGGAACGAACTCATGACCTTCATGAGGAACTTCAAGGGAGAGATTCAAGAGTTGATCAACAAGAAGCCGCCTGCTCCAGTCAAGGAGCAGTCGGCTAAGAAACCCTCCACTTCACTGAAGAGGAAGCCAGTTCAAGGGCGAGAGGCGACTCCTCATCCTAAATCTAGGAAGCGGGAGCCACCTGCCCTTGATTTCTCAAAATTCCGTTTTCCTACAGGAAATAGGAAACCTTTTCGTCATATTCAGGCGGACGGGTCGAAGCAAACATTCACAGACGCTCGGCTACTGCTAGAGCAGAAGAAGAGTGACCGATTGTCAGAGTCGGCCTCTACTTCAAACTTTCAAGACAGTCTGCGAAATGCCTCGATGAGGCATACCCAGTCGTATCATGAGAGTCAGTCAGGCGGCACCTCCCGTCAGTCCGGCTTTCATAGCGACCAGGCGGTACCAAACTTACCATTTGTGCCGCAACAACAGTATTTTTTGCAGCCACCTCCGTTTGGTGGACCTGCAGCAAAAAACGTCCAACCTATGGACTGGCAGCTACGGTTGCTTAGACTTGGTGAACAGCCGTCGGCTTTCTCCAAGGAAATTAATGAAGCCGCTCAGCCGGCCAAAGTGAAAAATGTATTAGTAGGCGCCTATGACGGCACTACTAACCCAGAAGACCATCTGATGGCATTCACCAACCTGATGTACCTTCAAGGGTTGGATGATCCCACTTGGTGCAAGTGTTTCCCAGCGACTCTCAAAGGAATCG